AAAAATGTAGCGCCCCCGGCAAAAGGGGCATTAGTACCATGGAATAGTACTAGTATGCATAACTAAACACCATCCCGTTAGAAAGAACAACCATACAAGAGTAAAAAGAAATCATAAGGACAACAAAGCTTCAAATAAGCGCCACGTCAACAATATAAGAGGTTCACATAGTTTTCACATAGTTTTTGAAATTTTAGATTGGAGCATTCCATACTGTTGCATCATTATCCACATTACCACCGCTTCCTTGAGCGGAGTCCGATCACGGCCCGATCGGCTAAGCCGTCTCCCCGAGACGTTACCATTGTTTCATTCTCACTTTCCAGTTTCAATTATCAATACATTACCACCATGTGTGTATAACATGGTGTCCGATCACGGCCCGATCGGCTAAGCCATCTCCCCGAGATGTTACCATTTCTCCGTTAATCATCTCACTTCAATCTTTGGTTTCACATATATTAGTTCATCGGCGCTTGGGGCCACAATTACCACATTCCCTAACTCACGTTTTACATTGTTCCTGTTTTCAACATTTACCTTGCCATTTAAGATCATAGGCACATACAAAAGCAATTTAAGTTATAAGCGTAGAGAGGAACTCATCTAGTTCGGCATATTAGTCCCAATGTAACCTTGACTTGACATTTAGGTATTTAGCACATAGATCATGTTCTCCACACATCCTCAATTTGCAAATAATAACACATTAAGCACATGAAGAAGCACCTCCTACATACATCTTCACAACATCAATTCATTTAACATAACAAGTACTACATCAATAAAATTTCGAACTTACAACATTTGCAAGGGCACCATGGAAGCTCAATTTCTAAAAGGATGGGATTTTAGCCATACATACCTCAATGGAGCTTTCCTTAAATCCTTTTAATAAATTCCAGAATTTCCTAGCAACTTCGATCTATTTTATGAAAATTACGAGTTGAACCAAGAATTAGAGGCATGAATAAGATTCTAGCTCATTTAAGTAAATTATCAAGCACTAAGTGTGCACAGTTATTTTAGGACCCTTTTGTGAGAGATTTTTCATCATCCTAAACCACAATTGCTATCTTTTTGGTTCAGAACCTCCCCATACCCCATTATCTTTTAGGCATGCAAGATTATCAGCCCTTATACCCATGAACCCACTTGCTATCACTTATTTTAATAGAAATTTTGAAATTATAGATGAGGGTACAAGTTCTTACCTCTTAGGGTGAAAACCTAGTAATTTCGCTTGACAATCTTCAAGGATTTGGGGCAAGGATTGAGAGTTAGTTTCTCTTCTAGAGCTCCCTCTCTCACTCTATTTGCAGTAAAAATCACATAAAAGTGGTCTAATGGGTGTTTTTAATGGGATGGGGTCGGGTTTTAAAAGTTAGAAAATAGGAGCCCCGGTACAATCTGCGATCGCATTCCTGACATGCGGCCCGCAAAATGGACCGCAAAAATGGTCCCAAAACCTGAACACACTGTCTGGGTATGCGACCGAAATGCGGTCCGCATACCTGTTCTACGGTTGCATAATGCACCGCAGAACTGCCCCTTACAAAATTCTAAGGGGATTATGCGATGAATATGCGCCCGCATAGTGATTATGCAATCGCATAATTGGCCGCATAGTTGACCTCAAATTAACCATTACACTGCCTGACTCTGTGGTGACTATGCGGTCTGCATAGCTATTCTGCAATCGCATAGTGGACCGCAGAAATGCACTTTTCTAGAAAATATTATCCCTTAACTTTTTAATGTACAGATCAATCCAAAGGGTCCGAACCGCGGCGAGCTTTTTACAAATCTCTAACACATATACCTAACTTGGCACTACGAGCTTTCGGGTTTTGAGTGGAAATTTTTACGGGGCCTTACACAGGTTTACCGCGGTTGGAGTGGAGGGATAATTTGGATTATGTTCCTAGAAGGGTTGTGTCCTTTCTTAAGGCACATCAGATGGTTGGCAAGGGGTGTGATGCATATCTAGACTTTGTGAGGGATGTCAGTGTTGATACTCTTACCGTTGAGTCAGTTCTGATAGTGAGAGACAATCCAGATATATTTGCCGCAGATCTTCCGGGCATACCACCCAATAGGGATATTGATTTTGGTATTGACTTGTTGCCGGACCCTCAGCCCATTTCTATTCTGCCATATCGTATGGCCCCAACGGAGTTGAAGGATTTAAAAGAGCAATTGCAAGAGTTGCTTGATAAGAGTTTCATTCGGCCTAGTGTGTCACCTTGTGGGTGCTCCGGTGTCACATTTTGCGTTTTCGTACGTTAAAGTTTCATCATAAGTTAATCGACGTAGACTCGGGAATGAGATTATTTTTGAGGTTATAAGCATTTATGCTATTTATAACAGGCAATAAGTAAGTGCCGTGAAGGTTAAAGGGTAAACGAATCAAAGAAAATGAGTTTCGTTAAAGGATATCAATTTGGGATAGAATACGATCCGAGCTATAATACCCGGTATTTATGGACTAGTGCCATACAAGGTACCACATGACCATGATAGTAAAGTATATAAAGTGTGTTAAAAATGATTAGTATTTTAAATAATTTGAGATAATTCTTAATTATGTGGGTAATTGGTTAATTAATGATTTTTGGTAGGAGATTAGCTAATTAAATATAATTTTTGGATAAGCTTAACCCCCCCCCCCCCCCCCAAAAACGTGGCAGCAAACTATCCCAATTAGTGACTCTTAAACTCATGAAACAAGGTGGCACCTTTAGAGAAAGTTAGCGGCCAAGTCATCATCCTAAGTAGGGCCCACACCTACCAAGACTTAAAAACCTCTCTAAATCACTCAGGGAGATATTGATATCTCTACAATGTAAGGAAAGGAGGCTTCAACAAAATTCATACGAGACTTCTTAGCATAATAGCAACGGGATTTTGCGATTCTAAGAGAGTACGGTACAATCTTTCTCAAGAATATCATACGGATTTTTCCATACTTCAATCCAACGTTACGTGTTTTATCACAAAAGACGAGTTTTAGGGGGATTGTCAAGAGAATTGGCTTAGGCATGTTAACGCTATCCCTTCTTTCCTTTTGACATGATCTAAGTAACGATACGTAAACGTTATGTTATTTCATAAATGGTTCTACTCTTAGTAACTAAGAAGGTCTACGTTGTTCATTCCTGTAACATGATATTCAAAGCATGCCTAAGTATGTTCCTAACTCTCTATTAAGGTATTCAATAAAGATGTTAATGTTCATAAGGGAATTATATGCATCATCATTTACCACCGAGCTACGGCCGGTCGAGCAGTCATGCATTTACCATCGAGCTACAGCTGGTTGAGCAGTTACACATTTACCACTGAGCTACGATCGGTCGAGCAGTCATGCATTTACCACCGTGCTACGGCCGGTCAGGCAGTTACTACTGATCAGTTGGGCAGTTGACGTCACGAGAATGATATAATCAGAACTATTACATTGTAGTTTTATTTATATATACGAGATGTGTCTTATTCTATATGTTATGGCCCTCAGCGGCAAGTTAGAGGTTATAAGTTGACTCCTATCCCTCCCCGATATAGTATCTTATTATTACGTTTCATTTCTTCCTTACATACTCGGTACATTCTTCGTACTGACGTCCCTTTTTCTGGGGCGCTGTGCTTCATGCCACGCAGGTGTAGATAGGCGAGGTGAGGACCCTCCACTATAGGTTGCCTCCAGATATCAGCTTTTGGTTGGTGAGCTCCACTTTTTCCTGGAGTGTTGCTGAGTTACGTTCTATATATGTTATTTCATATTATAAGGATGTCAGGAACCTTGTCCCGACTTATATATTATGTTTATGTTTTCTTAGAGGTTTTACAGATAGTGTCCTGTGTATAGTTTTAGGTATGACATGTCAACGGCCTTATCGGCCCTTATGTATCTATATAAATCTTTTTGAAATAGTTATGTGAGTTAAGTTCTAATATTGTTACTTATATATATAGATGTGGCCTATCATGGCCCTTGACGAGTCTTATAGTAAAGAAGGATAAGGTACGTGGCGCTCGGTTGAGTAGGCACTAGGTGCCAGTCGTGGCCCTCCGATTTGGGTCGTGACAAACTTGGTATTAGAGCAGATCTGTCCTAGGGTTGTCTGCAAGCCGTGTCTAGTAGAGTCTTGTTAATAAATGTGTTATGCACCATGTTGTATAAACAGGAAACTACAGGGCATTTAGGGACCGGTTATCCTTCCTTCTTGATATTAGATCGTGCAATAGTGCAGAGTCGTAGGGAATAAAGCCCTTGACCTTTGACTTGTTTTATATATACAGTGATGCCTGTGACCAGGAAAGCTACAACTAGTCAGAAGGGTAAAGTAGTGGCAGATGAGGGCATGAGTAGAGCACCGATGTCTAGTGAGGGCCAGAGTGAGGCCCCGAGGGGAAGTGTGACACCCTCGCATAGTTCTCCGATTTTGCCAGCACCCGAGGAGATGAAGAGGAACCCAATACCTCCACCTTTTTCTCATGATGAGGATATGGATATGCGGAATGCAGTACGGTTGTTGACTAGATTGGTAGCCGCTCAGACTCAGCGCCATGTAGGAACAAGTGTTGATTAAGTTGACAGGGTTATTAGCGTGAGAGTTCGAGACTTCATAAGCCTGGACCCTCCAGTGTTTACTGGATCCAACAAGGATGAGGACCCGCAAAACTTTATTGATAGGATGTAGAGGACTTTGAGAGTGATGCATGCATCAGACACTGAGTTAGTAGAATTGGCCTCTTACCGATTGTGGGATGTTGAGGTTCAGTGGTATGAAACTTGGGAATTGTCTAGAGGGACAAATGCACCTTCAACGGTATGGGAAGAGTTCTCAAGGGCTTTCTTGCATCATTACTTGCTGACAGAGATTCGTCAGGCAAGGGTAGACAGGTTCTTGGCTCTTAAACAAGGGAATATGAGTGTGCGGGAGTATAGTCTCTAGTTGGATTCCTTGGCGAGGTATGCCTCCTCGATTGTGGCTGAGATGAGTGACCGAGTGCATCGGTTAGTGGTAGGACTTGGGCCGCACCTGATTAATGAGTGTTTCACGGCTGCTCTGCTCGATAGTATGGATATTTCCTGCATCAAGGCTTATGCTCAGAATTTGGAGGATCGAAAATGGCAGCAATACGAGAATCGTGATAAGGGTCAGCATAAGAAGGCTAGGTCTGCTAGATAACCTGAGGATTTTTCGGGCGATCCTATGCCACCATATCCTGTTGATAGTGTCCGACAGTTGTAGAGGCTGCATTATGGGGGATCTGTCTATTCTAAATTAGGTCAGGGCTCTAGAATTTTGGGTTTTTAGAATCGGAGAGATTCAGCATATATGAGGGCGCCTCCTCCGCGTTGCAGTCAATGCGGTAGATCTCATTCTGGACAATGTCGTCAGGGATCTAATGTATGCTATACCTATGGAGACCCTAGTCATTACATGAGGGATTGTCCTATGAAGGACGGAGGCAGGATGGTTCAGCCCACTAGATCTATATCAGTCTCCTCTTCTTTAGTACGCCCTCTAGAGCGAGGCCCTCAGGCATCAGCTGGTAGAGGTAGAGGCAGGGGTGGAGCATCTAGCTCCGACTGTAGTTAGAACCGCATGTATGCTTTGGTAGGTCATCAGGACCCAGAGGCTACACCAGATGAGGTGTCAGGTACTGTGACTATGAGTAATGTTCTTATTAACGCAAATTGCCCAATTAATATGATTAATATAAAAGTGAGTTGGCATTTCGTCTGAAGGGTTGAGGGAAACCAAGTCAAGATTGAAAGCAAAGTAAGAAACCGAGGATAGTGGACTACGGGAGGAGAGGGGAGTAACCTAGGACATTAAGAAGTTAGAACTCTGATAGCTCTAACGCCCAAGGGAGGAAACAACAAGCAGTACGCAAGATTTTAGGAAAGTTAGTATAATGGAATAGAGAGTTATGAACCCGGTTATTAAGATGACAACTAGTAGGTGTCAGCGCCTAAAAGATAGATTAACAGAATTGTAGGTGACAAATGGATTAGGAAGTAGTTTTATGGAGGGACGATGTCCTAACCCCATGAGAGCCCGATATTTGTTTCATTGGAGTATAGCCCGTGAAGGTATATACATTTATAATAGATGAGTATGTTATGTACATCTTTCAAGTTTAAAAATTTGAGGACGAATGCTTCTAAGGGGGAAGGATGTCACATTTCACGTTTTCGTATGTTAAAGTTTCGTCAAAAGTTAATCAACGTAGGCTCGGGAATGAGATTATTTTTGAGGTTATAAGCATTTATGTTATTTATAACAAGCGATAAGTAAGTGCCGTGAAGAAAATGAGTTTCGTTGAAGGTTGTCAATTTGGGATAAAATACGGTCCGAGCTATAATACCCGGTATTTATGGACTAGTGCCATACAAGGTACCACATGACCATGTTAGTAAAGTATATAAAGTGTGTTAAAAATGATTAGTATTTTAAGTAATTTGAGATAATTCTTAATTATGTGGGTAATTGGTTAATTAATAATTTTTGGTGGGAGATTAGCTAATTAATTATAATTTTTGGATAAGCTTAACCCCTCCCTCTACGTGACAGCAAACTATCCCAATTAGTGTCTCTTAAACTCATGAAACAAGGTGGCACCTTTAGAGAAAGTTAGTGGCCAAGTCATCATCCTAAGTGGGGCCCACAACCACCAAGACTTAAAAACCTCTTTAAATCACTTAGGGAGATGTTGATATCTCTACAATAAGGAAAGGAGGCTTCAACAAAATTCATACGAGACTTCTTAGCATTTAGCAATGCGATTTTACGATTCTAAGAGAGTACGGTGCAATCTTTCTCAAGAATATCATACGGATTTTTCCCTACTTCAACTCGACTTTACGTGTTTTATCACAAAAGACGTGTGTTAGAGGGATTGTCAAGAGAATCGGCTCAGGTATGTTAAGACTATCCCTTCTTTCCTTTTGGCATGATCCAAGTAACAATACGTAAACGTAATGTTATTTCATAAATGGTTCTACTCTTAGTAAGTAAGAAGGTCTACGTTGTTCATTCTTGTAACATGATATTCAAAGCATGCCTAAGTATGTTCCTAACTCTCTATTAATGTATTCAATAAAGATGTTAATATTCATAATGGTATTATATGCATCATCATTTACCACCGAGCTACGGCCGGTCGAGCAGTCATGCATTTACCATCGAGCTATGACCGATTTGGGCAGTTACATTTTTACCACCGAGCTACGGTCGGTTGGGCAGTTATGCATTTACCACCACGCTACGGCCGGTCGGGTAGTTACCACTAATCAGTTGGGTAGTTAACGTCACGAGAATGATGTAAGCAAAACTATTATATTGTTGTTTTATTTATATATATGAGATGGGTCTTATTCTATATGTTATGTCCCTCAACGGCAAGTCACAGGCTATAAGTTGACTCTTATCCCTCCCGAAGATAGTATCTTATTATTACGTTTCATTTCTGCCTTACATACTCAGTACATTCTTCGTACTGACGTCCCTTTTTGTGGGGTGTTGTGCTTCATGCCACGCAGGTGTAGATAGGCAAGGTGAGGACCCTCCACTATAGGCTACCTCCAGATATCAACTTTTGGTTGGTAAGCTCCACTTCTTCCTGGAGTTTTGCCGAGTCACGTTCTATATATGTTATTTTGTTTTATGAGGATGTCGGGAACCCTGTCCCGACTTATATATTATGGTCATGTTTTCTTAGAGGTTTTTCAGATAGTGTCCTGTGTATATTTTTAGGTATGACATGTCAACGGCCTTGTTGCCCACTATGTATCTATATAAATCTTTTTGAATTAGTTATGTGAGTTAAGTTCTAATATTGTTACTTATGTATATAGATGTGCCCTATCATGGCCCGTGACGAGTCTTATAGTAAAGAAGGATAAGGTACGCGGCGCTCGGTTGACTAGACACCGGGTGCTTTTTTGCCCTCCGATTTGGGTCGTGACATTCGGTCTTCTTTGCGAAGAAGAAGGATGGTTCTATGCGCATGTGTATCAATTATCGGCAGTTGAACAAGGTTACAATGAAGAACATATACCCACTGCCATACATTGATGACCTATTTGATCAGCTACAAGGTGCGAGAGTGTTATCAAAGATTGATTTACGGTCAGGCTATCATCACCTGAAGATTCGGGATTAGGATATTCTGAAGACTATTTTTAGGACTCGGTATGGTCACTACGAGTTCTTTGTGATGTCACTCGGGCTGACCAACGACCCAGCATCATTCATGCACTTGATGAACAATGTACTACAGCCCTATCTTGATTTATTCATCATTGTGTTTATTGATGACATATTGGTGTACTTCCGCAGCTGGGAGGATCATGAGCAGCATTTGAGGATTGTGCTTCAGACCTTGAGAGAGAAGTTGTATGCAAAATTTTCGAAGTATGAATTTTGGCTTGATCCGGTAGCGTTTTTGGGTCATGTGGTGTCGAGTGAGGGGATCAAGGTAGATCCGAAGAAGATGGAAGCAGTGTAGAGTTGGCCCGGACCGTCGTCAGCTACTGAGATCTGGAGTTTTCTTGGTTTGGCTGGGTATTACCCTTGCTTAGTACAGGGTTTGTCATCTATTGCTGCACCTATGACCAGATTGACCTAGAAGGGTGCTCCGTTTAGATGGCTTTCAAAGGCTCAAGACTGATTGACTACAACCCCAGTACTGGTGTTGCCTATGGGTTTGGGTTCTTACACTATGTACTGTGATGTGTCGCGTGTTGGACTTGGCGCGGTATTGGTGCAAGACAGTAGGGTGATTGCCTTCGCATCTAGGAAACTGAAGGTATGAGAAGAATTATCTTATCCACGATCTGGAATTCGCAGCTATTGTTCATACCTTGAAGATTTGGCAGCACTATTTGTACGGTGTCCCTTGTGAGGTCTATACCGACCACGGATGGTTAGAGTTGCTTAAGGACTATACCGACCACCGGAGTCTACAACACCTGTTCAAACAGAAGGATTTTAACTTTCGGCAGCAGAGATGGTTAGAGTTGCTTAAGGACTATGATATCACCATTCTATATCATCCCGGGAAGGCCAATGTGGTGGCCGATGCCTTAAAGTCGAAAGGCGGAGAGTTTGATATCTAACGGAACCAGAGAGGCCATTAGCATTGGATGGTCAGGCCTTGGCCAACCAGTTTGTTAGATTGGATGTTTTGGAGGCGAGGCGAGTTCTGGATTGCGTGGTTTCTCGGTCTTCTCTATATGTCGCATCAGAGAGCGTCAGTATAATGACCCCCATTTGCTTGTCCTCAATGACACGGTACACAATGGCGATACCTAGGAGGTTTCTATCGGAGATGAAGGCGTGTTGCGGATGCAGGGCCAATTATGTGTGCCCAATATGGATGGGTTACGTGAGATGATCAGGAGCCCCACAGTTCGTGGTACTCCAATCATCCGGGTGCCGCTAAGATGTACCAGGATTTGAGGCAGCACTATTGGTGGAGGAGGATGAAGAAGGATATAGTAGAGTATGTATCCTACTGCCCAAATTGTCAGCAGGTGAAGTATGAGCACCAGAGGCCAGGTGGGTTGCTTTAGAGGCTTGAGATTCCCGAGTGGAAATGGGAGCGAGTTACTATGGATTTCATTGATGGGCTCCCATGAACTCAGAAGAAATTTGACGCAGTATGGGTGATTGTGGATAGGTTGACCAAGTCGGCTCATTTCATTCCAGTAGTGAGTACTTATTCCTCAGAGTAGTTGGCTCAGGTCTACATTCGCGAGATCGTCCCAGTTTATGGCATGCCGGTATCCATCATCTCTGACCGGGGTATGCAGTTTACATCGCAATTCTGGAGGGTCGTACAGTGTGAGTTTGGCACACGGGTTGAGTTGAGTACAACATTTCACCCTCAAAAGGACGGACAGTCTGAGCGCACTATTCAGATATTGGATGATATGCTTCATGCCTGTGTTATGGAGTTCGGGTGTTCTTGGGATCAGTTCTTGCCGCTTGCGGAGTTTCCTACAACAACAGTTATCAATAGAGTATTCAAATGGCTTCTTATGAGGCCCTATATGGGAGACGATGTCGTTCACCAGTTGGTTGGTTTGAGCCAGGAGAGGCTAAGTTATTAGACAGGGATCTGGTTCGAGATGCCTTGGAGAAGGTCAAGTTGATCCAGGATCGACTTCTACAGCAGGTCTTGCTCTAATTTTCGCCCATGAAGGGTGTTATGAGTTTCGGAAACAAGGGCAAGTTGAGCCCTAGGTATATCAGGCCCTTTTAGATTCTTGAGAGGATTGGTGAGGTGGCCGACAAGCTTGCACTGCCACCTAGTCTAGCTCCAATTCATTTGGTATTCCATGTTTCTATGATCCGAAAGTATCACGGTGATCGTCCCATGTGTTAGAGTTCAGCTTAGTCCAGTTGGACAAGGATTTGTGTTATGTTGAGGAGCCGGTGGCCATCTTGGATAGGCAGGTCTGAAAGATGAAGCCAAAGAGCATTGCTTCAGTGAAGGTTCAGTGGAGGGTCAACTAGTCGAGGAGGCGACTTGGGATACCGAGCATGATATGCTTCCTCATCTTTTCATCACTTCACGTATGTCTCTATAC